TACCTTTTAGAATTAGAGTTTTCTCCTTATATATGCCCAGGAGTGGGATTGTAGGATCATATGGTAGCTCTATTTTTAGTTTTTTGTGGAACCTCCATACTGTTCTCCATAGTGGCTGCACCAGTTTACAGCCCCACCAACAGTGCAGAAGGGATCTCTTTTCTCCACACCCTCTCCAGCATTTATTACTTGTAGACTTTTTGGTGATGGCCGTTCTGACCAGTGTGATTTGCATTTCTCTAATGATTACCAATGTTGAACGTCTTTTCACGTGCCTTTGGGCCACTTGTGTGTCTTCTTTGAAGAAATGTCTATTTAGATCTGCTACCTATTTTTTGATTTGTTTTTTTTTATATTGAGTTTTATGAGCTGTTTGTATATTTTGGAGATTAATCCCTTATTGGTCGCATCGTTTACAAATATTTTCTCCATTTTGTAGGTTGTCTTTTTGTTCATGGTTCCTTTATTTTTGTTTTTGTTTCCATTACTCTAGGAGATGGATCCAAAAATATATTGCTGTGATTTATGTCAAAAAGTGTTCTGCCTATGTTTTCCTCTAAGAGTTTTATAGTATCGGGTCTTGCATTTAGGTCTCTAATCCAGAGGATAAATTCTTGGAAGTACTAATTGCTCAGGCAAAAAGCACATACGTCATAAATTGTGATGAGTATCACTAAAATAGAGTTAGTAGAGGGAATTCCCTGGCGGTCCAGTGGTTAGGACTCCATGCTTTCACTGCCGAGGGCGTGGGTTCGATCCTTGGTCGGGGAACTAAGATCCTGCAAGCTGCGCGGTGCGGCCAAAAATTTAAAAGAATAAATAAAATAAACTTAGTAGAGGTTATGCCCATTTAAGTTCTTGTCAGTGTGGTCGCCTGCTCCCTGGGAGGTGTTCTCACTTCTGCCAGACGCTGTTCCGAGTGCTGAATCCCCAGGATGACTGCGAGCCACTGCTGCTAACGCACTCCCAGGCTGTCCTGGGAGTGCTGACAGATTCGGGGTTTGGCCTGAGATGGTTGGACTCAGGAGCGTGTGCCACAGAGCCCTTCGCCATCATGCCCGTCCTCCCAGGAGGGCCAGCAGGGGCCACCCCGCTCCGCCCTGCCCATCCCTGAAGTGGGAATTGTATCTCCTCCTAACGTTTATTTTGCATTTCTCTTACGTTGAATGAGGCTGAGCATCCTTTGCATTTTTTAAAGTTTTAAATCATTTTTCTAGTGGTAAACTTTTAAAAAATGGACATGTAAGATCAATCTCTATATATGTGTGTTTGTTCTTTATATATATAGACATCTATAACATATATACACTCATATCTATGTGTGCATTTTTTTTTAATTGCCTGTGATAGGAGTTGCAAAGTATTTTTTTCACCCAGTTTGCCATTTCTCCTGATTTAATATAGGGAATTTGGAGCTGTTTGTTGGTTTTCCATGGGAAAAATACTTAAGTAGTAAAATTCAAGTTCGTGTCTTTTATGGCTCCTTGGTTTAGAATCATAACTACAGAAGACATCTTCCTTAGCAGTCATGCAAAAGAAGGACTTGTATGGTTTCTTCTTGTGCTTTTAGTCTCATTTCTCAGATTGAAATCTGATCCATTTGAAGTTTATCTGGGAATAAAGTGAGAGGTAAGGCACGTATTTAATCATGTGGCATTTGTCATTTCAATATCTGGTAAAATTGATCTTTCTTTTGTTACCTTAAAAAAATTTTTTTTTCTTATTTTTGTTTATTGCTTTTCTCATAGGAAGTTTAGAATCAGATTGTCCAGTTCTGTGAAGAAAATATTTCTGCACCTTGAGTGGGGTCACCCTAGACTTACAGATTACTGAGGGAAAGTGTTTGTCTTTATGGTATTGAAAGCACCATACACCTTGTCATCCATTCAGGCATTTTGGGGGGCTCCTTGTCATTGTAATGCATTCTTAGAGATTTAATGACATCTTAAGTCTATTTTGAGGTATGGTCTTTTTATTGATTTTGTTACCTCTTGTTGTCTTGCTGTGTCTTGAACTCATTTCTCTGCTTTATGTCCTTATTTTAGAGAGTTTAAAAAATTCACGGCGCTATACCTGGTCATGTGCTCAGTAGAAGCATGTCTAGCGGATATTGGTGTTTTCTGTCCTGTCCTCTTTCCGTTTGACTCTTGGTTCCTTGTCTGCTGGTTCCTCCACTGTTGTGTCTCCTCTGGACTGAAGCACATGCCTCCTGGCCCAGCTTTTCCAGGAGCTCCGTGCCAGGGAGGGCCAGAGCTGTGTTCCAGGTGACAAGGGCCATCCCCTGGACACAGGCCTGTCCTTGCCGGCCCACTGCCAGGCTGCCCCCTCCAGAGACAGCTCAGCTGTGCTTCCTGGGCACCCGGACTTCTGACATCTGGGAACATGGTGCCCAACCAGGGCCAGGGACACTCCCGCCTCCAGGCAGGAGCCCAGGTGTGACGCCAACTTTGGAGACGTCTGCAGGCTTTGGCTAAGCTTGCCTTATGGCCCCCTGTTTTTTTCCTCATACAGTTTCTCAAACTGAGATATTCACATAGGATTCATTCTTTTAAAGTGTACAAGTGGTTATGGTACATCACAGTGCTGTGCAGTCATTGCCACTACCTGATACCAGAACGTTTCCATCTCTCTGAGAAGGAAACCCCTAGCTCACTGGCAGTCACTCCCTGTCCCCACTCCAGCCCCAGGACCACCGTCCCACCTCCCGGGCCCGTGGGTGGCCTGTCCTGGGCGTCTCACATGCACAGAGCCACCCGGCGTGCGCTCTCTCAGCTCTGGCTTCTTTCACAGAGCTTTGTCACGTCGTGCATCTTTTTATTGCCAGATAATGTTTCGTTGTATAGATAGACCACATTTTGGCCATCCATTCATCAGATGATGGCCTTGGAGTTGCTTCCACTTTGGGGTTGTTACAAATACAGCCAGCCATTCATGTGTGAGTTTTTGGGTGGACATACGTTTTCCGTTCTTTTGGGTCTGTACCTGGGAGTGGAGTTGTTAGCTCACGTGGTTATCTGTGTTTGTCTTTTTTT